GTAACTTGCACGGAATGATACATAAAAGCCGACATGTGCATTGGCTATGTAGTCCACTCAGTGTGAATTAGGCGAGTCCAACGCTCCCTTGGACTTATGTGGGACGTCTTTGTACTTGCAACTGTAAGCCAAATCTGTTTATAAATACGGCATTCTCCTTGTCCATTTTTTTACGATACCAATGGGACCAACAAATTGCTGCTGGTGGTAAGCAACTGACCTACCCATAACAGTGCAGTACAAACTTTACACAACCTTTCGAGACATTTAGTTGAAGTGCCTGTAGTTTTACTAGCACCCCACACCCTTCAAAACTGGAATTTAGTTACACTCACATTACTGCTTGGCTGCAGAACTAGGTATGGAACAGTATTTCCCTGGACGAACTCCTTTACAGTACTGCTAGTAATCAGTCGTCATATGTTCCGCGGCTATGACTTTCTTCAGAACTACTTATTATTCAGTAGCAAATAATAAGTAGTTCTGAATCTATATTTTTAATAGCAAAAATGTATTGAACGTGATGTAGCATGTTTTGATGGAATGTGTACAGAGTTAAAAGGAGGGAGGATTTTTTTATAGTCATATATAACTATTGAACAGAGTAAGTTGCAAGTAACACTGACTTTTTTTCTCAAGACCCCTGCTTAGTAGCAGTAGAGATTACCTATTTTTGCCGCCAAGCAGTAATGTCAGCATTACTGTGTTCCTGTTGATAAGGGTGCTGGTGAAATTACAGGCACACGGGCTTGTCAACTTATGCCTCAGGGTGACGGGCGCAATGGCAGTGCCCCTCAGATTTTTGTGAAATTTAAAGCTCTGAGTGACACTGCAACTGTTATGGACATGCGGGTAGCTTACCCTCAGGCGCACGACTTGTTCGTCCCGTCACTTGATATTTTTTAAAAATCCCTGGACGAACTCTGTTACACGGAGCTGTATTGCTAGTAATCAGTCGTTATATGTTCCACGGCCATGACTTGACAATTACTGCTACTAAAAAAAATTGTTGAACGTGATGTAGCATGTTTTGATGGAATGTGTACGGAGTTGAAAGAAGAGAAAATTTTTATAGTCATATATGGTATTTGAACCGAGTAAGGAACATGTATTATTGTCTTATTTTTCTCAAGATCCCTACTTCAGTAATGCAGTGACCCAAAGTGAGTTTTGATCTCCGATACCAGTTTTTGTCTCGCTTTCCGGTTCTAAGCCTACTCCTCCCAATCGCCAGTACCGAGGTCACTTAGCTTTTACAGGACTTCATTGCTTCTTCAATCCGATCGGCCGGCGTCCGATCGTCTCAAGTAAAAAAAAAGTGCCAAAGAAACTCCATGTTTATTTGCGCTAAGAACGACAATATGATTATGGATATCAATATTTAGTCATATCAGAAAAAAAAGAATGTTCATAAAAATTCTGATAATTTGCATCACACTGCTCCGCGCCACGCAACGGTCTGCGGAGCTGCGCTTTTAACATTGTACCGAAGTATGTCAGTTTATATAGAAAACACGTACAACACACTGACAACGCTGCTCTCTGCACGGGAGTGCGTGCACTCCGCTACGGGGTGCGGGGTATTCTGATAATAGCCTTACACAGTCCTATTGATTTTTTCACTTCACAAAATTTCATTATTACAAAGAAAGAAGTGGCAAAGGAAGTCCATGTTTATCACATAATTGAAAGTTACGTTCATTCATGGACAACATTATTAATTTTGGTATTAGAACATGAAGTTCTTCTTTCTTTGGAATCCAACATACCAAAACATTCTAAAAGAAAACAACTCCCTAATTTATCTCCCACAAATCCAAATAATCTGATTTAACTACAGCACTATTTCCGTCCGTCCTTTTGGAAGCGGATGTTTTAACAACCACGAAGTGTTTAAACGCAGTTGTTTTAATTGCTTGTAATTAACAGAATTTATTGTTGCTATGGTGGATTTGTAATTCGTAGCAATTGAGTAGTGTTGAGCTTATGTTACTGCTTGTATGTTACAACTGTGCGCTACCCTCACGCCTCCATATTCTTTCTAGAAACACTAGCTCAGCGCAGATAACCCTCTGTCCACTCTTCACTTAATCTCGCACAAGGACACTAAGGCGGACACCATTCTACGAAGCACTGACCAAAAGCCGTGCGCCTGATAGCAAGCCACACGCCTGTCCATAACAGTTGCAGTGCCATTCAGAACTTTAAATCTCAGAGATATGATACCACTGCGCCCGTCACCCTGAGACATAAGTTGACAAGTCCCATGTGCCTATAATTTCACCAGCACACTTACCCTTCTAAACCGGAACACAGTAATGCTGACATTACTGTTTAGCGGCAGGAATAGGTAAGGTGGTAGTACTTGTCTGGACGAACTCTTCCACAAGTATCTCTACTGCTGCTTTTTCTTAGACCATAGGGTTACTACGATTGGCAAACCCTTTTAAGCCTGTGATAGTTGGTTATGGTATCGCCTTTTGTTATAATATTCTACACATTATACATTGTCCATAGACTATAAAGTGACAATAAATACACTCATGGACATAGTCAAAGGAAATATTGAGCGGAACGCCAAAAAATGTTGAATTTAGTGGCAGTAGAGCTCATTCTAGAAGAGTTCGTACGGCGAAGTACTTACTGCCTTATTACCCTTATTACCGAAGAAGCAAAAGGAGAAGAATGTTCATATGAACCACAAGACACATATACAAGAATGTTTAACGGTTAAGAAACTTATCATTGACCAAAGAAAAACAAAATATAAGTAGTTGCCAGAATTTACATTTTATTTAAAGTATTTCCAACAAAAAAGCGCCAAAATAAACAATGTATTTAACATACTTTAACCCATTGGGGTTTTAATTACAAACAAAAGGAAGACAGTTGAAAACCATTCAACAAATCAACGACCGGGCTTAACACATCATTGAGTGCAGGGACAGATTCAGACAGATAATCATGCTAAATCAAAATAAGCTAAAACATTCCCTGTCATGAAACTGCGTGACCTATGAGCAGCCATCGGAGTAGGCAGAATAATATTTAAATAAACTTCAAGTAATATATACATATAGTAGACAATACCTCCCTCAGAAAACCCGGAACGAATTAAAAATTAAAGGCAGAAAACCAAAACAAAATAATCATATTTTTACTAATTATTACAAAATTGTCCTTATACATACACCAGCATACCATAGCAATTTACTTGCACCACTTCAATCACCTGGTCTCAAACTGGCGAATCAGTAAAGCACTGGAATTCACTCCAAGGTACTACCAGGAGTGGTTGACAACATGAAATTCAAAAAACTTTATTTCCCAAGTTGGTCTTACCGGATATCGAATCTGGGACCTCTTCATCCAGCACTCACAGTGCAAACCGTTGATGTCATCGGTCATCAAATTTAAAATTGCTAGTTACACATCAAAACTACAGAACAAAACACATTACAATAATCCTGGCTAACCAGAGGAGCTTAGGTTTATGTACACATGTTCTATTTATTCTATCTCTTATAACTCATTTGACAAAGTACACCATACACTACGTATATGTTGCCATTTTGTATTTTTTCACTTTTCTTGCATTTCATTCACCTCTATGAATTAATGGTTCTTACATAGAACAGAAAAAAGCCTAGTGATTTGGACCTATTGCCTCTCATGTAGAGGGTCGTGGATTTGGCTTGTGCTTCTGAGTGTTTCCGAATTTAGTTTAGTTTATTTATTTCTGTCAACATTACAAATTTCATGCAACTACAATTGCATCTCATTTTATGCTACTCTTCGAAAAAAAAAGCGTCAATTTACAAAATAATTATATAAATGTGAGTCAGAAGTACACAGTAGTGTACAAAAATTAATTAAATTAATTAAAGTAATAAATAAATGCATATTTAATTAAACTAACAATGTCAAGTGTATACAAGAAATGTCAATATGGATTCTTAATAACTAATAAATGTATATTACAGTATAATAATACGGTGAATGTCAAATCCATTAATAAATATAATAATTTAATTACTTATTAAGTACTTTGAGTGTACTCTGTTACTGAGTAAAGGGACTTTTCTAATAAAAGGTTCTTCAGTCTGCACCTGCTAACATGCTACATCACGTTCAATAATTTTTTTTAGTTCGGCAGGTAGGTGCTTTTAGGTGACGACTAAATTTATTTCAGAGTAGGTGTTTATTAATTGAAAATAATCTTTCATATCCTGAATACAGCTCTGGCTCCACGCAGTGTTTATCCATTGAATTATGACCACACGCGTCGTATCACCCGCAAGCTGCATCTCGTTGCGCTTGCTCACGACAAACAAACACACGCACAATTCTAAACTGTAATACCCCTGTTACTACAACTTTAAATCATTTGATCTTCACAAATTTCATGTATGTTATAAATATGTCAATAGAGTTATTATGTTTTATGGTTTTGAATATGACATAGACATGGTAAAACGTACGCTTCGTGGTCGTTAAGAGGTTGTCATTTAACTACGCAGTAATTTGTAATTTAAGATATTTTAAATTATTTTGCCAGCAGTAAAACGCCTTGAGTAAGTGTGTTGAATTATTTGTACACATTGTAAGCTGAAAAAGTGGATTTAGCAAATTTTCTTTTTTTACTTATAATAATATCAAATGACGAGATGGTCTAGTCGTGTGGATGACGGAAAGCTACACGCCTGTCTATAACAGTTGCAGTGCCACTTAGAGCTTTAAATCGCAGAGGTCTGAGAGACACTGCCACTGTGCCCGTCACCCTGTGACATAAGTTGGCAAGTCCCATGTGCCTGTAATTTCACCAGCAACCTTACCCCTCAAAACTGGAACACAGTAATGCTGACAATACTGCTTGGCGGCAGAAATAAGTAATGTGGCAGTACTTCACTGGACGAATTCTTTCACAAGGAGCTCTACTGCTAAATAGTGAACATATGCGGTTTAAATAGTAAAACGATATTCGTATGTTAGGTACTCACCTGGAATAATAGATATCCAGAGTCATACATCCAGAAGTCATCGGGCGCGTTGCCGGGCTTGGTGAGCTGTATCGCGAGGCAACGCTGCAGGATCAGCTGGCAGCGCTGCCCCCCCACTCCGCGACCGCTCATAGCCTCACGCGGGCGGCGGCATGCTCTGTAAACAATAAAAAAAATATTGTGAAATTTTGATCAAAATTATTATTATGAGATCAAATGTGCACTTATTTTTTATATATATTTTTATGTATATATTTATCTATTAAGTATAAATTTATTTAGGTATATTTATATACACATATATTTATGTAGGTATAATTTATCGTCATTTCTTTTTTGATAAATAATGTATTTTTTTGTTTTTTATATAAACAAACCATTTGTATTAATACATTGGCACCTACGTCTCCCGTTTCGATTAACTTTCCTCTACCTCAAAACTTGTCTGGAAGAGATCCTCTTAACGATAAGATCGCCTTTCCCTTTCCCCACATTAGTTTTAAGTTGTTTATGTACTGTTCTTGTTCTCGTGTATGAGAAATAAAGTGTATATCTGTCTATATGCATATACATAGAAAAGCCGAATATTTAAAATATGTTGCACCATTACAGGATACAGCAATTACGAAAGTTAACAATAAGGTTTTTAATTTAAATAACTATATTCCTTTATTAATGTTTAAAATGAACATTACGAAACATAACAAACAAATAAACGCCTGTAATAATAGTGCCTTAACTCTATTTAATACCATTACCAGACTACCACACGCCTTTCCTACATTTCAGGTTACATAAATTGGAGGCTGGTAGCCAAGTTAATACTTAGTTATTCTCTACAAGGTTTTATATAGTCAGCTTGACCCCCTCCTCGTACTCTTCGCCTCTACTGCATTATAGTACGAGAACTTTCAAGGATGTTAACTGAAAAGAAAATTATATCTTTCATGAGATATGTGATAGTTAAAGGGAACGGTTCACATAGTCACCTCTATATGCTTCGTACTATGTCTCAGATTGATTCAAAAAGACTTACCGTTAATTTGGGCCCACATTTCTACACAACTTTCAACGATTCATAATAATACGTTTAAGAGTCTACTATCTCAGCTTGAATTCAAATTTTTCCCCTACTAATACGGTTCATTTTGGTCAGATCGACCGGCAAGGATTTCATGTCAGAATTTATTTTTTTACAAACGAAATCAAAGCTATTTGAAAACTGTACATCGTGTAGTATGCTTGTTCTATTTAGTTCAGCTGATACGAAAAAACATTGATATGTAAAGTACCAATTAAATGCAGCGTTTTTCTTGTAAAACTCCGAGGTAACCTTGTATTTTTTTTGTGTATCGTGAAAATTTTTACGAATCGTGTTTTCACACCGTATAGTACCCAGTGTATACCTTCAATTTTAGTGTATATTTTTTCCAAAGTGTATGATTCAACACTTCACTAGTTATACGGAATCAACCAAAGCCATTTGAGGTCGAATAGACTCTTCCACGGAATGTTTTACATAACCAACTCAACACGTCCCAAAATTATTTTGAAACATTAGTCTCAGAATAGTTTGGCGATTCGCAAAAGGCATCACGTTAGTATGGACCCAGTTTTCTCCACTTTACCGTAGTATGACAGTATTTTTTTTTACAATTCAAAGTTTAAATGGACAGTAACGAGTGTTCCAAGGGTTACACAGTAACCTTTAAGGTTAGTTTTTATTTACCCTTGCATTGTTGTTATGACTGTGTAGCCAACAACAGATAATTAAGAAAACTTCCTAATGGACTACAATAAAACCAAAATATTCGCCCAAACAGCGACGAGCCTTCTGAAACTTAACGAAACAACAAACGAAATGTAACACAATGCGATTAACTTGTTCAATGTGGTTCAATGTTCCTTGACATTACAGTTTGAGCACAAGGTGATGTTAGAAGTGTTAACGCATTGTTTTCCCAAAATGTCCTTTACACCTTTTCATTGATAATTTATTTTTACGTCAACCTTATTAGTTACATGTAATGAATACATTACAGAGGTTGAGTTATATAAACACATTAATTGTACAAAAGAAATGATACATTTACCCATTTCAAAAACATCCAACTCATCATAAAAAAAAACTGGCATATCTAACACGAAAAGTCAGTTTTTGTACGCGGTTTTCACGTGATTATTTTTAACCAATGGAAAGCTCGGGTTATTCATAAGAAAATATAGCACATTCTGAACACTACTGTGCAATAATTAAAATAAATAGCTATTTTGGAATAAGCCACCATGAAAAACAGTCATATTTTAACAACAATTTAAAATATTGGTATAGAAAGGCGAGTTTACTCGATAAAGGGAGTTTTTACCAACTTGCCTTGCTTTTGAATAATTTAGAGAATAATTTGTTTCCTAGGTTGACAATACCGTACAAAAAAAATAGTGAAAGCCATATACTAAAAAATTACACAGTTTTTCAACATGATATCAAGTGACTGGACGAACAAGTTGTGCGCCTGGTAGTAAGCGACACGCTTATCCATGACAGTTGCAGTGCCACTCAGAGCTTTATGTCGCAAAGATCTGAGAGGCACTGTCACTGCGCCCGTCACCGTGAAATATAAGTTGTCAAGTCCCATGTACCTATAATTTCACCAGCACCTTGCCCTGCGAAACTGGAACGCAGTAAGCGCTCATATTACTACTTGACGGCAGAAATAGATAAGATGGCAGTCACTCTTTCACAGTGAACTCTAATGCTAATAAAGCTGACTTAAATAATATTGCATACGAATACATATACTCGTATAAATCAACAATTGATGTACACAATCTTTAAGAAAATAAATGTTGTATGTATTATTAATGTATAAATTTCTAGTCTCTTAAAATTAGTTATGTTAAGGTATTATAACCAAAAAATGAACAAAAACATTTTGCTCATCTTTATTTCGTCATGTGTTACATTGAGACGTAACTTAGTTTTATAAGTGTCATTATAGAACTTAATAAGAGACTACTTTTCCGGCTACGATGTTTACATCATGAGAATCGCTTCAGGCTGTTCCTGAGTTAACACCGACTAGTGGTTAGGCACCCACGCTGATAATTATCGTGTTTGTCGGCTATTTCGACGAATGTTTTAGAACGGTAATATTTAAAATCATTAAAATATGTACAAATGTTTCTAAAAAAGAGCTTATAGACCTATTATTTGTTTATTGTGTGTTTTACATGGGATATTTTGTTAGTAAACCAATAACATGTCGTCACGTTTCACTCAAATTAGACGGTAAAATAATTTTAACAAAGAAAAAGTAATATGTCCATTAGGAAGACAAACAACAGGTAACTTATAATTAAATAATAGACCTGCATAGTTTAAAGTTTTTAAACGCAGTAGGTGCGGAAAGGGCGGTACCTGGAGATATAATTATATATATGGCCATGTATATATCATCAACAACCCATTTATACGTCCTACTGGTGGGCACGGGTCTCCTCTCAGATGAAGGCATAAGCAATATTCCGCCACCACGAGCCAATACGGGTTGGGGATTTTACACGTTTTCCGAGAGTCGTGAACCTAATTCGACGTGCAGTTTTAATCACGCTGTTTTTCTTCACCGAAAATTTACAGTTAATTTCAAATTAAACTTCGCACATAAATTTCGAGTAACTCAGAGGTGCGAGCCGGATTCGGACCCAAGGCCTACGAAAATTTATTAATTAGCTACTCCGCGAACCCAGTGAAGGTTAAATCGTGCAAAATAGCCGCGCTTGTGTTGAATATTTTTTCATGCATTTAATTTTCCCACCCACTCTCCGCATAAAATTAATAAAATAAATAACACAAGCGCAACGACAGTCACAAACACCACCACCAAATATTGGGTATATTAACTTCCACTTTTATTGACGTTGACTGCCGCAAACTAACGCCTCAATCTATTAATTACTTAACCACGGCATATGCCTAATGGTTTGACCTAATGCCTCTCCGACTTTTATATATATGTACTGGTATGTACATATGTATCAGTTCATAATATGTATTTAAGCTGATACGTAATTCACATTTAAACGACACATAACCGCTTATATTAAAGTTTCTTTGCACCTATAATCTTATATCAAGTGATTATTATGACATTACAACTATACGAAGAAACTACAAGTACATAATTTTGGAAGTTACAACATCGAAAAATGCCATACTGCCGTTAACATAACGATCTTTTTGCTACCACAAACTTAAAGAGAAATGTTCATTACCCAAAATTCTGAGAAGCGTCCCTTACTTGCAATTGCGGATGCTATCTCAAAAGTGAAAGGTCATTAATGAGATGTCTATAGCATCTTTATAACACCAAAGAGCTATAAGGAGAGTAATTATAGACCAGTGCCGAGTGCAAATAATTTTCAGCACAGACGGTGTTTAGCGAACTTGTTTCCATAATAGGACGTTTATTTTATCAATTCGCTCTAAATGGGCTTTAGCATAAAGTGCTGAGAATTTCACTTGGTGATAGTGCGTTTAATAGTGGCATAAATACAAGAACCGTGGAAGTCGAGAAGTGATATAATGCATTTGTATTTAGGCCTTAAGCTTAGCTGTGGTTTGTAAGATAGAAGACATATTTACGGAAACAATTTGCAGAATGAAATTTAAATACTCACAGTGAGACCATTCTAAGTGCAAGTTTCACCACGATGTTTACCTACACTGTTAAGGAGAGATATTGTTGCTAAACATTTTCAAATGTTTTTTTAGGATACCAAGTTACGGGACGAAGATGTCAGTCGCAGTGCCGCTTGTAGCACTAAATCGCCAAGATATAGAGCAGAACATTGCCACAGCCGTCACCCATCATAAAATATAAGTTAACAAGTCCCATGTGCCTGTAATTTCACTAGAACTCTTCCCATCCAAAACCGGTACGCATGTGAAATAGGTAAGGCAGCAATACTTCCCTGGACGAACTCTTTCACAAGAAGGTCCACTGCTACTTAAAAATAAAGTGCATAATTAATGACGATTTTAGTGGTCCAATCGATTGCACTGTGGGCGCTGGATAAGATGTCCCGGTAAGACTAAATCAGGGAATGTACTTTTTCAAAATTTGTTCTAGTCTTGGCGTTCTGGGTAATAATCCTGGA